GCTCCCCGGCCCAGCTCCGCCCGGGCGCCCAGTCTTTCTGCCTATATTGAGGGTTGGTGGCGCTTTCGATGCCGGCGAGTGAACGACGCCTGACCGAGATGCAAAACTGATGATTTCATCGTTCGCGACGCAGCTCCTGACGGAATTTCTCCCTGGCGGAACAAAGACGAAAGATTTCTGTGCATTTCGATTCATTTATGCAACCACGAATATACAATTTTCGTTCTGAGTAGACATAACTATAAATATGAATTATTGTTTTAAGCAAGACCAATTCAGGGAACCAGTTTAGGCAATTTTATGTGTGTCTGTATATGTATTATTCTGCAGAGTTATTAACTTATTAACTTTATGAGAAATTTGTAGAAAACGGCAATTAAATTAACAAATAAATATTTCTTACCTCATTATTTTTTTAACTGCAGAAGTAATATAATATGTATTTGCTGGATTTCAAGCAAATTCGTTGACTTTAGATTCATCACTTCTTAAAGAACTTTTCAATTTTTGAAACTAAAAGCAATTTCTAATTCCAATTCATGAAAACATATTACAAGGGACGAGTAAAATTAAATTTTTGGATGTATGCTCAATGCATCGTCAACTTGACGGCCATATTAAGGCGAGAAGTTCCGGAAGAACGCGAAAGCGCCACCATTGCAACCCTTCACTCTTCTTCGGGCGCCTTCGTCAAACATCGGGAACCTTCGCCGACAGAAACAAGCGCACATCGAACGCTTTACATTCCGATCGCTAAGATCTCATCGACGTTGACCTGACCACTGACTGTATTCACTGTGGTCAAAAGCGGTCCCCGGTGACGACTGCACTGACACAAAATAATGTTTCACAATGGAAAATCAAAACTTATTGAACATGAGAAGGAGGTCCACTATACCATTGGGTACCTGTACCAAAATCATTTGAGCAAACCTGACTTAACTTTCACGCACAATGTTTAGAAATGTTTAAGAGAATATTTCTATTGCCTAAGTGAACTTGGTACTCGTATGTAGAAATTTGAACATTTATGTTAAAATGATAAAATTAATTGTTCGATGCAGAAGATTTTAGTGCATACTTTTTTAGTATCACTAAACCAAAAAACGCACAACTCTCTTTAAAAAAGCGTCCAGGAGTTCGGCTAAAAATAAGGCATCAATGCTAAAATAAATACACTTAATAGCATGTAACAACATTGTGTTATTTTTAAGTATATAAAATTATAAAGGAGGAAATGTATTATTTTGTCTACTTTTTTGTTTGCAAAGGCAAAGTTTAGTTATTTAAAATTTCCACAGTTTTAACCATTCGATAAACTATTTATATTTAGCATAATGAAGCCATATGAGTAGCAAAGATTCATTTATCCGATTTCACCAGAATCAACTTCTTCGACTTCATCTCGTCTATGCACAGTTTACTTGACTCTACTTTGAGACATTCGATTTTGGTGAAATCGGCC